CTTTGTTTTTGTTTTTGCTTTTTGGGAGCTGTGCTTCGTAAGTTAACATAGCAAGTGCTTGAGCACATGCTCTGGGACTCACTGAGAGTTCCAATCCACTTCGAGGGGCGACACGTCTGTGCTCCAGCGTGTTCGCCTGCAGAGTGCACAGACAACAGCACCTCCCTGTGGGTCGCTGGGTGAATTGTGTGTGCTCACAGAGCGCCTGGCTCACGGGCAGGGCTGCATATGAGCTGTGTATTACCTGCCACATGGTCACTGTCTCATCGTCCTTGTCAGATCTCTGATGTTCAAAACCCAGCTTCACGACTCACTTGCTGTGTGACCCTGAGAAAGTTGGTTTTACCTCTTCAGGCTTCAGTGTTTTTATTTGTGACATGTGGGTCATAAAGTATCCGCTGAGAACTTCATGAGACCAGGTAGGCCACATGCTTGGCATGGCGTGGCATAGTGAGTGTCCCAGCAGAGGTCGTAGGGAATGCCAAGGGCTGATGGTTGGTGGTGGATTCTGCTTTCCTTGAGGTCTGTTTTGAACCATTCGAAAGCACAAAAGTGAGCGAAAGGGTGGGGGCACAGTGAGCAGCCAGCGATGAGGGCTTCACGTCCACCTCTCACAGTCAGGTCGTGGAACCTCAGTGGCAGCAAGATCGTTTCTAGGTTGAACTGCTATACAAGCTCTTCCACGTCTGCTGGCTCCTCAGTTCAGTGATGGAACAGGCAGAACACCTGTGCTCATCACTGCTGCTGACCAGCGTCTGGCACCCTTCAGCCAACCACGGCCTCCCTGCCTCTCCCGGTCTAGCTGTTCTTGAACAAACACGTGTTGAGGTCGATGATACCTCCAGTGCTTGGACTCAACGCTCTCTGCCTTTGTCTGTTTCCTGTGAGCAACCCATCCCCATGGCTGTGTCTTGGGTCCTCTTTCCCAAGAATTGTTCCACCTCTAAAATCTCAAACCTCCATTCTTTACTCTTCAGCCACTTTATTACGTACCTAGGAATGTATAATTTAGACTTGTTGCTGGTGAGTTAGATAATCATAACCACTTACCTATAATAGTGGATAAGAATGTTTACCTGTTTTAAATTTGTTTTCACTTTTGATGAGGCAAAGGTGTGCAATGCTGATACTTTGTAGACCGCCCAAGGGGAGATTGTACTCATGGGTGACTCATTTACTCAAGGAAATACTATTATGACACACTTTGTGCCTCTTAACCTACAAATATCTGTTTTCTAAAGAAGGGTTGAATATACATTAGTAGTTATTGCTTTTGTAGTCAGTCTGGATAGCTAGAATTTTATTTTTCTGACTTACTAGTTAGTGGGAATGATAAAAATGGTTATATTAGCCAGTAAGTTATAAAATTATGCTAATCATTTTGTTAAAATAATTGTTATCACTCTAATACCACTTTTTAAGATTGCATATAATAGCTTTATTAGTTAATGTATTTAAATAACTATATTTTTTCCCCTCAGTTCATGAGGTTTTCTTATTTGGAAGGGATACTTTTTAAATTAACTTTTTAATTGATATATAATGTACATACAGATCATAAGTAAATGTATGAGTTATCATGGAAACACACCTGTGTGAGCAGCATCAGAGCAAGAGTTGGAAGTTTCCAACACCCCCTAAACTCCCAAGGCCCTTCCAGCCCTCTTCCTGTCACCGAGCCCCATATACCCCTAGGGTGACCACCTCATGGGACATGAAAGACAAGCCTCATAAACGAATATTCACATGTGCCATCATTTTTTAAATCTTTGCTGATATTTGAATGTATTTATATTTGCTTTTTCTCTATTTTTAAATTACATTTTTATTAAAATAACACAGGCATGTAGTTTTACAAGTTAAGTGCTAGTAAAAGGCTTATTACAAAATACAGTAGTTTCCCGCTCTACCCTTCCTTACTCTTCAAAATCCTTCTCTCAAAAGGAGAAATACTTTAGTATTTCTCCGGCTATTTATACATTTGCACATTTCATTTTAATAGCTATATAATATTGCTATTTTTATTAACAAAAGTTAGGCATTATCTGTTGACTTCCTGTTGTAGTAAATGAGAACTTAACCCTTCCACTGCAGTTCCATGACTTCCCTTTCTTATCTTTCCAATACATTTAATTAAATATTTATGGTTAAATGAATATTCATTATTAATATGCATATGCAAATCACATGCAGATGGCATTATAGGATACTACAACTGTGGTTTTTTCCCTTCCTCTTTGTTTTTCATGATGTTAATAGTTGCCTTGGTTTTCGTGTTTTTCTTTCTTTGTAACCTTCTTGTCTAAAATCATCATATTTCCTGTGCCCTTGGTTCTGAATACAGTCATTAACTCTTGTGATTGCCACATCCAGTGGAGTCTTCCATTCCTGATCTTTTGTGGATGCACTTTCCTTGTGACTTTCTCCTTCTTTGGTTTCCATGACATTACTTTCTCCTACCTTTCTGGCTACGAGTGAGTTCTATGTGAGTACTGTCGTTTTAAATGTGTGTTCCTGAAGACTGCATCTTTTTCTTGCCCTCATAGTCTCTTTAGGCAGTATCTACCATGGCCCTGAGGGACCCTCCCTATTGATTCTTTTCTAAGCTCCAGAGCCAACTGTTTAACTAGCTGTTGAACACAGAGGGCGGGCAGGAGGCACCTTGGCTATTGCCCCCCTCTTGTGGGATCTGTGTAGGCCTTGGGCTGAAGCCTCAGCAGCTGCCCCACCCACTGTTCCTTTTCCTTTTCCTCCCTGCTCCCTGACAGACATTTTACCCTCCTGCAGTTCCTTTCTCACCCCCAGACACCCACACACACACGCAGGCTCGCACACTTACCAGCTTTTTCCCTCTCAAACTCCAGCGCTCAGTCCCCATTTTTTTTGGCAAGAGGACCACAAGCTCTTTCTCACGCCGTTTTCTCCTCAGAAGGCTAAAGTGGGGAGATAGGAGGCTAGGCCAGATGTGAGGTCCCAGAAGAAGCCAAGTGACACTCATTTGGCTTGTTTTATTTGAATAGGCCACGCCTCTGAAAGCATGCTCTTCCCTGACATACCGAGAGAACGATCACTGGAAACAAACCGTGCGCATACATCCCGCTTCTTCTGCATTGTTACTTTCAGATTTAAAGCCACCAGGGGCTTGTAATGTGAATGTCGTTCCTTTCAGATTTAAAAGTGCACATGTGGGATTGCAGTGTGAATTTATGGGTGGAGATGGTGTACTTTGTCCAAACAAGAAGGGCAAAGCAGACGTGAATGTTCTTCTGTCTACTTTATCACTATGTGTGATTAGGACCACACATCTGTACTCATGTTCCTAAAAGTGTTCGGTTTCCGGAAGGGCCTCAGGCCTGATCCGAGTACCTGGGAGGAGACAGGCGTGGTGGCATGGTTGCAGTCCTGTCGGCTGCCCTCTCTGGAAGGGGTATATTCAAGTCCATCTTTAGGCATGAGTGTTTATTGAGTTGTGCTGTGTGCTAGACACTGTGCTAAACATGGTGATACAGATGATGAAATGTCGTCCCCTCCCTGGAGTTCACGGTGAAAGTAAAGATGTGGGCTCCTGTCTTGGGCCCCTGCTCCTCAGAGTGTGGTTTGTGGACTCTCAACATCGGCATCACCCGGAAGCTTGTTGGAATTGCAGAATTTTGGCTCAAGATGGACCAGCATCTGGGTCCAAGATTCCCATTTCTTTTCTTTTCTTTTTTTCTTTGAGTTGGAGTCTCACGCTGTTGCCCAGGCTGGAGTGCAGTGGCACACTCACGGCCACCCAGCATCAACCTGCTGGGCTCTGGCAATTCTTCCAAATAGCCAGAACTACAGGCGAGCGCTATCACACCCAGCTAATTTTTTATCTATTGTAGAGACGAGGTCTTGCCAAGTTGCCTGGGCTAGTCTTGAGTCTGCCGGCTCAGGCAATCCACTTGCCTCGACCTCCCAAAGTGCTGGGAGAACAGGCTGTGCCACCGAGCCCGGCCCAGGATTCCCATTTCTAACAAGCTCTGATGCCAGTGCTGTTGGGGCATGGGGAACCTTGGGGCGCTCTCATGCGGACTCCCTTGCTGCCCCCCAGCAAGCGAGTGGAAGCCTGAGGGTGCGAGTGGAAGCCTGAAGGTGCACTTTCAGTGTCTCCAAGGAGCTCCCCGTGTTACACAGCCTAATGCAGGTGCACCTTGCTGCTGCGTAACCTGCTGGGTGCACTTCCATCAGCTGTCCACATCCAGAGCATCTGGGCTCGGATGTATAAGGACTGAGAACAAGAGAGCCAAGAAGTCGCTAAGTGGGAGCCGGCCCAGGGGGGTTGGGAGAGCAGAGATGCCTTCTAGAACCTCGCATGCCTGATGTAAACGCACGAGTAGTTTATCGTTCAGTGATTAGGAGGGCCGGTGTTCTTGCAATGGTCCAGATGGGAGCAAATGAGGCCTGAGCTAAGTAAGGTAGGAGAGGCTGCATCTGGGACTCACTAGGAGTGTTGATCCAGTCGGTTAGACGTGGCAGAAGGGGAGGGTGAGGATCGAGGTTGCTGCTGGGTCCTCGGCTCTGGGACCTGTGTGTGGAGGTTTACCTGGAGACCATGGGAGGAGGGGCATTGAGGACTCTGCCTCACTCCTGGAGAGTTGGGTGTGAGCGGTTGGTGGGACCCGCTGGGAGATCTTGAGGTGCACAGTCCTTGAGCTTGGAGAGGAGCTGCTCAGACACTGGCTGGGCCCACTCAGGACTAGACGGAGGGGCTGTGGGTGTGGATCTAAGCGTTGGGAGAATGCTCTGAGGGAGAAGAGACTCACCTGAGGTTGGGGCCAGTGAAAGGAGCAGCCTCCCTGGAGGATGTGAAGGGATGTCCAGAGAGGCCGTCAGTCTCAAGAGGGCCCAGAGGGGCCTGGCTTCCAACAGGTTTCCCAAGGTTTGTCACTGTCACGGATGCTGGGGAGGGTGGCTCCGCGCTTTTTTTCATGTCTGGTGGATTCTAGCTCGCCAACTGCTTCTGTGCATCATTTAAGGTCCTTAAAATTCTGGTCAGAGCAGTGACTGACGGGATGGCCGACCGGAGTGGAGATGTCGCAGCCAGCCTCAAAGGAAAGCTGCAGGAGCTACTGGGCAGAGTGACCTCAAGGGTGACGAATGACGGAGAAATCTGGAGGCTGTATGCCCAGGTCCATGGAAACGGGCAGAGCGCGCAGCCCGATGACAACGAGAAGGTGGGTACCACCGTCCTGCTGGGTCGCACCTTTGTGTGCACATGTGGGTAGCAGGTCTCTTTCTTTTCTTGATGGGTAGAGAACGAACTTAACCGTATGAAAGGTAAGGTCAGTGCGCTCAAGTTCAGCTTCGATTCAGAGCCCTTGACACAAGCACTTGGAATTATGGCCAGTTAAGGCTCATCGTGTGCATCTCCTCCCTTCCCATGAATTTGTCTTAGTTGTTCTGTGTTTCCTGCAAAGGGGCCTCTCGAAGCAGCCAGCCCTGCTCGGTCTGCATGTCATGGATGCAAATACCAGCTGCTCTGGGTAGTTCCTCGACATCCCCTTTGCAGATTCTTTGCTAGAGACTGAGGCCGACTGGACGCCAGAGCACAGGGTGCTCAGCTCTGATAGGGACAATGTGAGAGAAAGATGAGGGAGCCAGCCAGGGTGTTGAGAAGGACATCTAAAGTCCGGACATCCGCGGCTTCATAAAGGCCACACTGCTCTTTCTCCCCTGGCCGAGGAACACCAGCTACACTCTGACCACGCCTTACCCTCTTATCTTAAAACTTAAAGGAGCGCAGACTTTCCAGAGTTGGAATGATTGTTGTGTGTTTCTTTTCAAAACATCCACAGCAAATCAAATGTACTCCTTGCGTGGGCTTGCAATTAGCCATGGTTCAGCTCATCTGTGGGATTCTTCCCCGCTCTCTCCTCCCTTGGTCTGCACAGCCAGCTTCTCCCATCGCCCTGTCAGCCCAGAGGACACACATCACCTGCAGCACACACACTCCCGTGGCTGTCTTTTCATGGCTGCTGAGTTATGTGCTCACTTGCCTGTTGGAGTTAAGGGTACCCAGAATGCTCTGCTCCATGCCTTCTCCTTCAAGGACTTGGAAGAGAGTGCTTTAAACCCCTGAGATTACACACCTACTAACAATTCCATTGTTTTAACCAAGTGCACACCTCATTCTCTAAATGGGTTTCCTAAGTCAGTGAACATTGAGAAACTCTGTATACAGATACTAATTTCCAACCCGGTCTTTATGCTTTCCTGGTCACATGGAAGCATCCCTGTCCAGTGTGTCTACCTGATTTCATAACCACTTGTTGCTGTTGGATGGCATCCCTACCCTTTTTTATTTTTATTTTTTGAGTTGGAGTCTCACTCTGTCACCCAGACTGGAGTACAGGGGCCGCTCCCGGCCACCGCAGCCTCGCCTGCTGGGCTCCAGCAATCCTTCCGCCTCAGCCTTCCGAGTAGCCAGAATTACAGGCATGCGCTACCACGTCCAGCTAATTTTTTTAATTTTATTATAGAGATGAGGTCTTGCCTGCCCAGGCGGGTCTCGAACCCGCGGGCTCAGGCAGTCCACTCACCTCAGTCTCCCAAAGGCGTGGGATTACAGGCTGAGCCACCAAGCCTGGCTCATCCCTACCCTTCGATGAGAATAGCCAAAGTTGGGCACGGTAGCTCACCACTCTCATCCCAGCACTTTGGGAGGCGGAGGCGAGAGGATTGCCTGAGCCCAGGGGTTAGAAACCAGCCTGGGCAACTTGGTGAGACCTCATCTCTATAGTAAATCAAAAAAATTAGCGAGTATGATGGCACACACCTATAGTTCCAGCCACTTGGAAAGCTGAGGCAGAAGGATCTGGACCCAGCAGGTCAAGCCTGTGGTGGCCATGAGCATGGCCCTGCACTCCAGCCTGGACAATAGGGTAAGACTCCAACTCAAAAAAAAAAAAGGGAGAGAGAGAAAATGCCGAGCCTGTGTTGTGCAACACACATGCTGTTTTAATGTTGGAATTAGTTCCATGTGACTTCCTGGAAACAGAGTTTGAAATGTGACTTCTACTTGTTATTCTGAATGTTTTTCCCTCTCTTTCCTCAGGCATTCCAGTGTCTCTCAAAGGCATACAAGTGTGACACACAGTCCAATTTTTGGGAGAAAGATATTACATCATTTAAGGAAGTTGTTCAAAGAGCCTTAGGACTTGCACAAGGTAATTGATGTAGCATTTGATATCCATAGAATATTTTCATGTATTTTTTTTTACTGATTAAAAAAAAGTGTTAGTCAAAAGGAAAGTTCCATTGTAAATAATGGCAGATTACTTTATTACATTGAAATTGTTGGGTTTTGCCAGGCTTGGTGACTCAGCCTGTAATCCTGCGCCTTTGGGAGGCTGAGGTGAGTGGATTGCCTGAACCTGCAGGTTCGAGACCCGCCTGGTCAGGCGAGACCTCGTCTCTACAATAAATCCAAAAAATTAGCTGGGCGTGGTAGTGTGTACCTGTAGTTCCGGCTATTTGGAAGGCTGAGGCGGAAGGATCGCCAGAGCCCAGCAGGTCGAGGCTGTGGTGGCCGGGAGCGGCCCCTGCACTCCAGTCTGGGCGACGGAGTGAGACTCCAACTCAAAAAAAAAAGAAAAGAAAAGAAAAGAAAAGAAATTGTTGGGTTTTTTGGTGAATTTTTTGTTTCGTTTTTTAAGCGATAGGGCCTCACTCTGTCACCCAGACTGGAATACAGTAGCATGTTCGTGGTGCACTGCAGCCTCTAACTTCTGAGCTCAAGTGATCCTCCAGCCTCAGCCTCCCAAGTAGCTGGGACCTACAGGCCTGAACCACCACATCCAGCTGATTTTTTTTTTTTTTTTTTTTTTTTTGTAGATATGAGGTCTTGCTATTTTGCTTAGGCTGGTCTCGAACTCCTGGGTTCAAGCAATCCTCCCACCTTGGCTTCCCAAAGTGCTGTGATTACAGGCATGAGCCACTGCATCTGACCTGAAATTGTTATATTTCATTCAGCAAAAATTTATAGACTGACTACTATGTAGCAGGCACTTTGGAGCAATAAGAAGAAACAGGATAAAGGCTTAAAGTCTGAATAAATGTCAGGAATTAGGAGCTTGTAGAAATGTGAAATATACATTTTACAATTATGTATAATATTCACTCCACACAGAGTCTGTTGTGTTGATTATGTAGTATTAAGGAACTCGATTAACTTTTCCTAGACTTGCAGTATTTCTTTATAAATAAAAATATGCATTCATAAAAATACATAGCTCTCTGGAGTATATAGCAATATACAAAGAGCTACAGCATATTCAAAAGAAATGTAGAATGTCATCTAATCCTTATCTTTGGGAAACTTCTAGAGGATATTGTTTGAGAGGTTTAACCCTACATATACAATTTTATGCCTGTTTAGTAAATGCAGTTTAGATAAAGACTGCTTTTAGTGATTTGCACTAATGAAAAATATACCCAATTGTTTAGTAATGCTTTTTTTTTTTTTTTTTGAGTTGGAGTCTCACTCTGTTGCCCAGACTGGAGTGCAGTGGCTGCTCCCGGCCACTGCAGCCTCGACCTGCTGGACTCTGGCGATCCTTCCGCCTCAGCCTTCCTAGTAGCCGGAATTATAGGCATGCGCTACCACGCCCGGCTGATTTTTTGATTTATTGTAGAGATGAGGTCTCGCCAAATTGCCCAGGCGGGTCTCAAACCCTCGGGCTCAGGCAATCCACTCACCTCAGCCTCCCAAAGGCGTGGGATTACAGGCTGAGCCACTGAGCCCGGCAGTAATGCATTTTTATGTTTACATTTGAATATGGGTGTGTGATCCCCTGGGAATGCCATTCCAATAAAGAATTAAGCCCCAGTGTTAAGAGCTGGATCCCAAGGGCTGTGAGCGGGTCCTGAAGGCTCCTCCTGCCCCACTGCTCTCCTTCCTCCTGCTGCTCATGGTTACTGCAAGTAGGGAACCTGCAGGGAACAGTTAGGAGACCTGGGCTCGAGCTGCTCTGCCATCTGCTTGCTGGGTGACTCTGGGCAAATTGCAGAACTTTTCTGAGCCTTAGTTTCCGTGTCAGTAAAGCAGGGATCATGCCTCCCTGGGGTTGTCACAAAGAATAAAGGAAAACATTCAGGCACTCAGCCTCTCCCCACCCTCTTCCTTCCGAAACAGAGGTTCTGGGGCTGTATGATAAGGGACCCAAAGCTAAAGGGCAGGGATAAAGTTTAACATGCCTGTAAAGAGGCCACAGAATATTCAAACAGTTTAGAAGTGGGCTCGGTAGTTAATAATTCTACTGCAGTCTTTGATGTCTTTGACCAGGAGGAGATAAACTCCCAATTCCTGGGCTACCCAGCCCTTGGCAGATAAGGTGGAGGTGCTGGACTTAAGTGTAGGAAAAATGTGAGGTCATCGTAACGGGTCGGTGGGAGGGTGCTTCAGGGGTGACTGGAGTCCATGTGGCTTGTGCTGCCCTCATGGTGGGTGGGCTCAGGTAGGACTCGGTCCTTAGTCCGTGGGCCCTTGTGGCTGGAGTAGTATGTTCGGGGAAACCCACACTGCTGTATTATGCACATAATCAGCAGGATGGGCTTTGCCTTGAAAAATTTATCTTATCTACCTCAGGTTGCCAGCTCTAGACATTTCTGTGAACCTCTGGCTGTGTAACATCGAAGCCACAATATCTTCTGTAATCACCAAGCAATAGTATTAAGGCTGTCAAATATAGATATGCAGGTTAAAGAAGCACTCTAGGAAAAAAATCTTTATTTTGCATCTTAAAGTGGGTTTTAAACTATGATTAGCATCGTTTTTTTCATCAGGGCAATACTAGGAGAAAAACAAGTGTTTTCTTTTAAGTTCTCCTTTGACATTAATGAATTACATGCTGGTTGGTGCTCCTACAACATTTCAAGCATATTTGAGCAGATGCCCAGCTTTCATTCTGAACGATATTTAGATTTATAAAGATATCTCTGAACCTCATCCTTGTTGCTTTTGTACAACAAGCTCAGAGTACGGGCTGGGCTTCCCTGTGGTGCCGACTCTTTTTTGTATTTCTGTCCTATGCGGTTCCTCCACCCCACCTAATTCTGAAAAGGAAATACAGTCAAGTGTCACATAACATTTTGGCCACCAAAAGGGCATATGTGGCACTGGTCCTGTAAGACTAGAATTCGCATCTTTACTGTACCTTTTCTGTGTTTAGACAGACACCATTGTGTTACAGTTGCCAACAGTAATCAGTACAGTGACCTGCTGTACAGGTTTGTAGCAGAAGATCAGAGGCTACATACACTGTTTGACCAGGTGCATAGTGGGCTGTACCATCTGTGTGTGTGTATGTACATTCTGGGATGTTCCCACAATGACGAAATCACCTAACCACACAGTCTTAAAACGTGTCCTGTTATTAAGCGATGCATAACTGTATGACATTTAAAAAATCTCCACATGGTTTAGTCCTTGGGTTGCTATGGTTTAGAGTAGCCCTGTATTTCAGAAGCTTGGTAAAACATTGTAGTCTCCATGTAGCGTTTGAAGCTATCTGTAACAGTGTTGTTCCAGGCATAGTGGCTCAGGCTTGTAATCCCAGCACTTTGGGAGGCTGAGGTGGGAGTATCACTTGAGACCAGCATGGGCAACATAGTGAGACCCCCCCAACAAAACAAACAAACTGAAAACAATGTTATCATTGTGTGTCCATTTGTATTGTCTGGACAGCATTCACTTACAGTTTCTGCTATTTTATTTTCTGGGAAAAAGATGGACTAAAGCATATTAGTTCTTTGCCATCCAGGCACTTTTAAAATAATAGTTACGCATTTGGCCGGGCTCGGTGGCTCAGCCTGTAATCCCGTGCCTTTGGGAGGCTGAGATGAGTGAATTGCCTGAGCCCACGGGTTCGAGACCCGCCTGGGCAGTGAGACCTCATCTCTACAATAAACCAAAAAAAATCAGCCGGGCGTGGTAGCGCATGCCTGTAATTCTGGCTACTTGGAAGGCTGAGGTGGAAGGATCGCCGGAGCCCAGCAGGTCCAGGCTGCAGTGGCCGGGAGCGGCCACTGCACTCCAGTCTGGGCGACAGAGTGAGACTCCAACTCAAAAAGAAAAAAAAAAAAATAGTTATGCATTTGAACTACAGTCTGCACGGAGGAGTCGCTCTCTCTTGGACTTGCTGATGATTTAAGGCAGCAGGTGATTTCTCTCCTCTCCACTTCTGTGTCAGTCTGTAATGCCTCTTGGAAATGGGATTGAGTAGGGAAACTGACAGAGTGCCTTTGTCTTTTTGCTCTATTTTTGTTTTTCTCAGAATGAAAATAAAGGATTAAAAAAAGAATCACGCAGCTGTTTCTGATATAAGCTGCTAGGTATTAAACAGCTCAAATACCTCTGCCCTGGTAGTTACAACTTTCCTAAGAGAAACAGACACAATAATCCTCCCTATCTCTGGGTGAACTGTGCCCTTTGAAAATGAGTTTAACATTGCCAATTACCATGCATCCTTTCTTCCTTTAGCCGAGAAATGTCAAAGTCAAATTATTATTCTGAAATAAGAATGTCAAGCCTAGGTCTTGCTGTCACGGAAGAGATTATTAATTAATGACAGACCTCTCCTTTGCCAGGCATAAGCAGTCTCTTCTGAATGGTTATAGTCGTGTGCAAAAAGAAATCTATTTTCCGTCCCTGGTCTACAGTCTAGGGTACGAAGTAGACTTTAATCCTTGTACTGTTTAGTGCAGTTTGCAGATAGGATCTGGTCATAGGTCTGTCTGAATTTAGTGAGTATAATTTAGGGAACAAAACCAAGAACAAATCAGTGGAGAAATATCAGGCATTATGTTTATACAGAGCTCTTTGCTTGTTCTTACAAGGTATTAATAGCTGGACGTTCTGCCAGGAATTCCAAGTTTTAGGAAAAAGCATTCCCCAGAATACTGGAGACAGAATTCATTCCCTGCCCATGTAATTCTCTTCCAGTGGCTATAAAATGCCAGGCACCGCTCAGGAAACAAGAGCCTGGCTGTGGTCACATTCCCTAAATGAAGACACATAGTTGGTGTCAATTCTTCAAGAATGGCGCTATAAACCCTGAGTATGAAAATGCAGGAAGAATTGAGCTGTACATATCTGGCATGTCACTTTTTTGGGCTATGTCATCAGCAACTGTGAAGTCCTCATTAGGAACTTGGGACCACAGAACGCTACACTGAGAGGTGCCATGTCTGTGTTTGTCTCTGTGGGCACCTTGTTTTCAATATTATTTTGTCTCCTTGGCTGATTTCATGAGTCTGTGCATATATGTGCATGAATGTGCATGTGCAGGTTTCTAGAGTCTCTTCCCAGTGACCTTGAACTCACCAAAAATCATGTTTTCCTCTAAATTTCTCTTAGCAATAAATCTTTTTTTTTTTTTTTGAGTTGGCGTCTCACTCTGTCACCCAGACTGGAGTGCAGTGGCCGCTCCCAGCCACCGCAGCCTCGACCTGCTGGGCTCTGGCGATTCTTCCACCTCAGCCTTCCAAGTAGCTGGAACTACAGGCGCGCACTACCATGCCCAGCTAATTTTCGATTTATGTAGCGATGAGGTCTTGCCAAGTTGCCCGGGCGGGTCTCGAACCCGCAGGCTCAGGCAATCCATTCACCTCGGCCTCCCAAAGCACGGGATTACAGGCTGAGCCACCGAGCCCGGCCGCAATAAATCATGATAGGCTCATGCCTATAATCCCAGCAGTTGGGAGGTGGAGGCGAGAGGATTGCCTGAGCCCAGGGGTTCAAGACCAGCCTGGGCAACTCATTGAGAACTCTTCTCTATAGTAAATAAAAAAATTAGTCGGGCATGGTGACACATGCCTGTAGTTCCAGCTACTTGGAAGGCTGAGGCTGAAGGATTGCCTGACCCCAGCAGGTCGAAGCTGCAGTAACTGTGATCATACCACTGCACTCCAGCCTGGGCAACAGAGTGAGACTCCAACTCAAGAAAAAAAAAAGAATAAAGGGGTCAGGGGTGATAACTCACACCTGTAATTCCAGCACTTTGAGAGACCAAGGCAGGAGGACTGCTTGTGCAGTGTGGTTTTAGACCAGCCTGGGTAACACAGTGAGACTTTGACCCTACCAAAAAAAAAAATCAAAACATTAGTTAGGCATGGTAGCGCACGCCTATAGACCCAGCTACTCCAGAGACTGAGGAGGGAGGATGGCTTGAGCCCAGGAATTAGAGGCTGCAGTGAGCCATGATCATGCCACTGCACTCCAGTCTGGGCAGCCAACTCAATTTTTAAAAAAAATTAAGGGAGATAAAGGGAAGAGTTGTGCACACAATTATTATCCTTTTTGAAAAATAAAACTTTCCAAGAAGAAATATTTCTAAAGTCTGTTACTATAAAATTCTAATTAAATACTTGGCTTTTGTAGCTGTCAACCAGTTTGTCATGGGTGTTTCTCCCCATTTCTCTCTTCCAGTGGCTATAAAATGCAGTAAAAACAAATCCAGTCCCCAAGAAGCTGTGCAAATGCTTTCCTCCGTCCGACTCCATTTACGGGGCTTGTTATCTAAAGCAAAGGTGAGAGTGACATGTGAATTGATTAGAAGCGTCATGTAGAACAAGGTCGCTAGCATCAGCTTATGTCTTCTTTTGTGTCATTGATCATTTCAGGCACATGCTCTTTTAGATAACAGCCCCAGGTAGTTGCCTATGTTGCTGAGGACAGTGCAGGTCCAATGGCTAGACCGCCCTAAGCGGAGATAACTTAGTAATGTTTACTCTTCAGCCCTTAATGCTTTCTTTAAATTAGGTTAAAACAACGCTCTTGTATTTATTATCACTTTAACCAAATTGTGGCATATATATCACCGGTAAACTTTTAATTTTAATATATATTTATTTCAACACGTGTCAGAAAAAAGTTGAGCTAGCACATTAGACCTGTAATTTCATTAATATTATAATATGTTTGATTTATAGTAGTGATATAATGTTTCCTTTAAAAGGGGGCTTAAGTTAAAATACTTATTTAGGTAAAAATATTAAGTAGGTGATAATGGATTTGACCAGAAATTGTTAAGGTAGATGGGTGCCTCAGGTTTGACCACTGAAAGATACCATTCGTTCACAAGTGCCAGCTTGTGAACCAGTGCTGGGATGGGCTGCATGGGGGTCTCCCGGAGAGTTCTGCGGGGGGCTGGACTCTTGGGCTGTGTCTGTGTAAGCTGTCAATTCAGGTCTGGGGTGGAACGGAGGAAGTCTGCTAAGTTTCCTAGGTGACTTTAAGGCACAGCCAGGTTTGGACTGTTCCTCGGAAGCAAGATTTAAATGAATGCAACATCTAGTTCCTTTAGTGCCTTCTTTTCTAATCTTTCTTTTGCCATTTAACCTTGGGCTGCAAACTCATTTTACCTCCTTCTGACAGTAACTCTCTGGCGCCTGGGGGCCACTTCTGGATTCCTCTTTTTTTTTTGAGTCGGAGTCTTCCTGTGTCGCCCAGGCTGGAGTGCTGTGGCACGCTCACGGCCACTGCAGCCTCGACCTGCTGGGCTCCGGCGATCCTTCCGCCTCAGCCTTCCAAGTAGCTGGAACCACAGGTGTGCGCCACCATGCCAGGCTAATTTTTGATATTATTGTAGAGACAAGGTCTCGCCAAGTTGCCCAGGCTGGTCTCGGACCCCTGGGCTTAGGCAGTCCTCTTGCCTCGGCCTCCCAAAATGCTGGGATGACAGGCTTGAGCCACCGTGCCTGGCTTGGATACCACTTTGCTGTGTAAAAGCCTCCCTAGAGTGAGTCTTTTTCATTACTGTCTTCATCTTTTCTAGTCAAGCCATCATTTTTGCATCTGTAGGTAATTAAAATACGTGATTCTCCCTGTGTATATGCGTGCAACCCAGGAGAGCCGGATTGCCTCCTAGCCCAGGAGCACAACCATAGAATTATGTGTCTCCTGGAGGGCTGCACGCACTCCCTCACCGTCAAAGTGGCAGGCTTTCTCTGTGACTTTCCTTCCCCAGTGGGAAGCTAAGTTTCCTGCTTTTGCTCGGACCACTAGCCCAGCCACAGTAGCTCATTCTTCAGGACACACTCCAGTTCCTGTGTCTCCTTGCAGAGCTCTTCCTGAGATGCTACTGGCTTTTCCCAGACTTGTGCCCACGTGACTTGAGCAGCGCTGCCTGTGCCATCTGCGGTCTGTCCATATCGTGGTGGCTCCCACTCATGGAAGCTGAGGCCCCAGAACACGGTCTCTGTCTAAACAAATCGAATTTGGTCCTCATTGAATTCCAACTCGATTATCCACAAATGGGGAAAATTGCCTCCCAGGGCCTCCCTTTTGCATAATATTTGGGAGTTTCTGGTATTCCGGGAGATCATGTATCTTTTCTATTTTTTGGATGAATGAGTTTGCTACACTGAATCGCATTCCCAAAAAAGCCACTTGAAAGAATGCTTTAAAAGAGAAGAAGGGAGAGAACTGTGAAATAGCCTGCAGCAGCCTTGCACGAAGCTCTGGTCTTCTCTTGTAAGTCCAAGATTTCACGGAAACAGGCACCTAGGGCCTTGCCTAGCACTCTGTCCAGCCCACGCTTGCCCAGGACAGAGGGACTCGTCTGCCTACAGTGCCTGTCCTTGGGCAGGCTTGATGCCAGGGGCCCGAGGTGGGTGGGCAGCCCAGTCAGAACAGACGTGACCACTTAGACTCTGGGATTATCAGCAAATCCTTTCTTCCGTCTAAGCCTCAGTTTCTCTGTGCTTCCCCTTATCTCGTGGGGCGGTGATGCAGATTTATTGTGGTTTGCAAGCATGTAATTCTTAGTAAAATATAAATAGTGAGAGCCAAGAGAGGCCAAGTTATTTTCCTAAATGGTGGTTTCTTTACTGATCACACTGGAGCAGTTCTCACGTCATTCTATTCTAAAGTGCTATACAAGCCATCTAGCCAAGTCTAATGATGTTTCTAATTAAAACACATACACAGGCAGCACATAACCATCGCCAAGAGTACCTCATCCTAAACCAGAAGAAGTGAGGACCAGTGGGAGGCCCAAACGTCACATGAACGTAGACCATTTATGTACCTCATCCTGACTTGTGCCCCTCATCTTCAAAATCAAGTGAATTAATTAATAAGTAAAATCCACACACAGTCACATGTGGACATATGTGTGCTTATGTGCTCATGGGTATACATGCATACACACACACACACACACACACACACACACACACACACAGGATTTTAGTGTGGTCCTAAAATCCTGATGCTGATTTTCTTAGTAGCCACATTGTCTCAGCAGGCAGTTCCTGGAAAAGCATTTCAAAATGTTTTTAGCCATAGTAGCATTGTTGAAGTCTGTTGCAATATGCCTCCCAGGGCTGTTTCTTTTCCAGGGAGAGGGCACATTTATTTTTATTTTATTTTGCTGGGCTTTTTTGCTTTTACCAAACCTTGACAATCTTCGTATCCTCTGAGGCCTAAGCTGAAATTAATTCTCAAATGAGTAGCATAAGGGGTATGATTTATATGAATTTGCATATAAAATGTATTTGTTTTGCTTGCATACACAATAAATAGTGTCTTTTCATCCAAAAGTCATCCTGTAACATTGAAAGGAATAACCAGCGTTTAGGTAACTGCTTTAAAGAGCAGAGCTCATTAGAATCAATAAATTCAGGCATGTTGTTTTGATTTACTGTTTAATTATTGCAGCTTGTACATTTCCAGGATGGTGAACTGAAAATACTACCATTGCTGGTGTGATTCTTATGGCATTATTATATGAGTATTTTAATTCTATAGACCCTGCATCTATTTTATTTTAGAGATGTTTCATTGTCTTGATACTTCCGCTTTGTTTTTCTATGTTACAGCAACTTTTTATAGATGTGGCAAGTGGAGAAATTTCTGGGGAACTGACTGATGAAATAGCCGCAATGGACACCTTAGTGCTGGACCTTCAGGATCTGAGCAACCGATTTCGAAATCAGTATTGATCATCCCGGAAGCAGCTTCTGGAAAGGGTGTTTTCACCTTCTGGTGAAAGACACTCCTGTGTATCTGAAGCACAAGATCTTGATTTTTAAAATAAATTTGTTTTTTGGCTAGCATTCTTGTTTTTGTGATATTCTCACATGTTTGTACATTCTGAAGTACATCAAATTAAAAGTTCCCTGTGTCATTAGGCCTAGTTATAGTTGGATTCAGTATTTTTATTATTTTTGAGGTGTTTTGGCTCAAAGAACAAGTATATTAGCTTTATTTTAACATAGCATTGATTCTCTCTCATCTCAGTCTAACATGAATTAGATCACACTTTGGAAAACCTTAGTCTAAACAGGAAGAAGAAAATCACGTGCTTCAAGATTGGGGGATCATTAGATTAGCTCTATCATTCAAAATTGATAATGGAGTGGATTTGATGGTAGAAACATTTATACTTCTTGAGATTTTGTTTGTATCAGAAAGATAATAAGCTTGGCTAAATTGGAAATGTGATTTAATATCTAAATCAAGAAAATGCAAGGGAAAACCCAAATTTTGACTCAGCCATCAGCCACTAGTAACCAGGCTGTTACCCCCTTGTTGCATACACCTCCAGCCCTAAAGATGGTCGTTTAATTAGGTTATTGTGGGTGAAGACAGCTATAAATGGTGCCATATTACACCAAAAATGCCAAAGTAAAATGCTTTCATAGTCTATGGAAACACATATTGAAGGCAGCAGCTGCGCTTAATAATCTTAGTACAAAAGTCACAGTAAGGAATTCTAAGACCTGGCTTGGGTCGCTGCATTCTGGGTCTCATGCATAAATCACTGACCCTTGTTTTTTCCATGTTCTTATTTATAATATGTGAATAATTTCTATTCCAAGCTTCTTTGTGAATTTCAACAGCCTTTGGAAATTTAAGATTCATAATCCATAGACAGAAAGTATTCTGAAAATTAAAAGCAATCTTTAAAAAATTCTTTTATTTGTGAATTTTAATTATGAATACTTGCCAGTGCTAAGTGTTCTCTTTCCTTAACCACCTGCTTTTCTTTTCTACTGCCATATTAGCCTTTAAAAATGCTGATGTTTGCCCCGAAGCAGTTTCTCTTTTAGGAGAGACAAGACTGAAAAAGAGCCTAGGGCGTGATGGCTCAGCCTGTTATCCCAGCACTTTGGGAGACGGAGGCGAGAGGACTTTCTGAGCCCAGGGGTTTGAGACCAGCCTGGGCAACTTGGTGAGACCTCATCTCTACAATAAATCAAAAAATTAGCTGGGAATGGTCATGCCGGCTACTTGGAAGGCTGAGGCAGAAGGATCGCCAGAGCCCAGCAGGTCGAGGCTGCGGTGGCCGTGAGCGTGCCCCTGCACTCCAGCCTGGAAGACAGAGTGAGACTCCAACTCCAAAAAAAAAAAAAAAAAAGAGAGACAAGACTGAGAAAGACCAATAAAACAAGTTAACATTAAGGGTCCACTTAATGTTTGTTTTTTTATGGAAACCATTGATGAACACGTGAGAATGACTGATGGATAGATGAATAGATTGATGGATGCATGGATGGAACAAGGTTTCAAGATTAACTATCAATACCGAGCTGTGAACCCCAGTAGAGAATCGATAGAAAAGAAATCCTGGAAAGAACAAGAAATTCAAGAATCAAGTGGAAGACCGAAATAGAGCTTCAAGTTTTAGACAATTTTTGTCCTCGGTTTGCTGTCCTTTGGGTTCAGAGCAGGAAGGCATCTGTGACTGTGCGCCGTCCCAGGCCAAGTCACCAAAGGGTTGTCTCCAGCCCTGTCCTCCAGTGCTGTGCTGGATCAGAACCTACAGGACGCTGCCCTGTGTCCTCTTTCATCTTGGATTGATCTCACAAAAGAAAGAGCTACCGGACCTTTTTAACCATCTTAGACAATTGAAGAAAATGTGTGCAGAGGTTAAGTAGGAAAGGCTTAGGGTTTTCTCATCAAAACCTCATCTCTACCAGCTGCTAACATTTAATATTTAACACTCAGCTGCTTGGTTTCTTCACCTGTAAAATGGGCGTGGTGATGAGAGCGCTTCCATCAAGGTCTTCTCTCTTAGGACACCTTCCCCCAGCTTCTGAGTTAGTCGCAAAGCATCCGTTTAAACAGCTATGTGTTATTTACTGCCGGGGCTTTGGGGCTTTGGTGCTTTGGGTATATTATGGTTAAATACTTGTATTTCCAAATGCCTTATCTTTTATGCGTTTCAACTTTGGTTTTCTAGCATGAAAACACTTTTGTTTTCAGAATTATTCTTTTGCTTTGTCAATTAGAAAAAATGGGGTCCTCTGATGTAATCGAATCCCCACAGTGTGAATAACAGTAATGACAGCGTCGAGCTGTTACGTATGCCACGTACATTACATACCATCATCTCTCACCCCCAAAAGCACCCTGCTAGGTTGGAGTGTGATGTCACTAAGGGTCACAAACTCTAGAAAGAGAAATAGCCAGATTCAAAGACTACAAGAGCCTGCGTTCTTTTCTGCCCGCCATACCGAAGCTTCCAGTGGCCTGCTGGTTTCAGTCTTCTCTTTCTCACAATGGGCTACGTGGACTGTTTGCCTGGCATCCTTTGTGAAGTTCTCCAAGAGAAATTCTGTGAGGTCCCGGTTAAAGATTATTTCCTTTTTAAAAACAAAATCTTAATGCCTTGTCAGCCTTTTCCCAAAGAAGTGGCCTAGTGAACGGGGACCCTCACTACAGAGGAGTGAGAATAAGCTCCAGTGGAAGGAGGGACCCCTTCTCAGTTTCCAAAACCAAATGCAGGAAGCTCAGAGAGCTGGTGTCACATCTGGGGGACAAAGTAGCGGGCGTGTGTGGAGGACTGGGGAGTCGTGCAGGGGGCTGAGAATGGCAGGACCCCAGAGTGAACTTGGGAGGTCCCCGTATAGGAGTGGAAGGCTTGACCCTGCCACAACTGGAGCCACAGGTAATGAGGACCCCAGACATTGAAAACATTGACTGACTTAGTTGAATATGAAGACTGTTCTTTTCACGCGTGCTAGTGTCTGTTGGGCCCTGTTAGGAGTGGAATTCACAAGCAGAGGTGTCAAAAGAAAGGGTACCACACGAGTGCAGTAAAGCCATCCGCTTCCCAGATCTAGTTCAGAGATGATGACAGGTGATAACACAGCAGAGATCTGGCTGGTGTGGTCTTTGTGAACGTTTGTCCAGGTTTTAGTAGATCTACCAGGCTAGATCCATGGGTGAGTCTGATGAAAATTTTTCTTTTTTTCCCACGTCTGCCTTTATAGCACCCACATCAATCTGAATCGCTGTTTAGATAAGGTAAGTCTACTTTACTGGCCAGGAGTGCTTCCCTTCTGCCTGTTCCTTCACGGGCCCCGCAGAGAAGTGGCAAAGGGCCTTTATTCAGACGCTGGGTGCCCTGCTGTGGGAATACCAGTGGATTTTTCACAACTCGCAGAAGTGCTTATAAATAGATAGGTTTCAATCAACAAGCAGCTTATTCAGGCATGTGCTCAAATATAGTAGCTGCATTCATTAGACAGACCTTTCCACTAATCCCAAGACCATACTAATAAAAGAGTAATCCCTTATGGACGAAAGGTAGGGCTAGTTTGCTTTTAACTCTTAAGAGTCCTTCACACACCAATAATAATAATTGGAGCTATATTTGGTTTTGCCAAGTGAACTTGAAAACTGAGCTTATCTTGAAATTTTCTTTTCTTTCTTTTTAAAATCGCAGTGGCAGGCAACCCCTTAGGGTCCCCTACCACTGCGAGAACTTTTCTGTCCTCTCAATAAATCCTGCTTTAATAAATAAATAGATAGATAAATAAAATTGCAGTAGCTCAGTGAAGAAAGAGGTGCTTTTTACTCTGGATATGTGGCCTGCAGCAAGGCCAATTTAAAAATCGTGTGTGTGTGTGTGTGTGTGTGTGTGTGCATGCGCGCGCGCGCTTTTATCATAAAGCACCTTCTCTCTCATATTGGTTAATTGAGCAGATTCTGGGTTTCCTTCTTTGACTTTAGGATAAAGAACAAGTTAAAAGTCGATGTTACATAGCGGTTTGCCTTCTATAAGGCAGACTTTTTTTCCCTGGGCTTGGCTTTGTGTAACACCTCCTTACCCCTCCCGTTATTCAGAACTGGCTGTAATTAGTTTACTCAGCACAACACCAAAACGGTTCCCTTGCCAGTGATGTCAGATCTGCCTTCCTTTTTATTATTCTGACTTCTTATAAACTGTAGTGACCTGTGAGTCAACCTCGCCATCTCCTGGCCCTGCGCCAACATTGTGATCCATGGAAAGAGATGCCTGCCAAGGCCCGGGAGGCGGAAAACTGATATCATTTAGAGTGGTCTTCTGAACGGCGAGTATCAGCCATTTTAAAGTCTTCTGTGACGTTACTGCCCGCGGCGGGGTGGGGGACACATTTTGTTGATGTTTTTGTGGATCTAGCCTGTGCATCGCTAACTTCTTCCAGACCGGGGGCTCCGGTGACCCCCAGTGTCTCTCGGCAGACAGCAGTGACTCCACAGTGCGACTCAGACAGATGTGCTTCTGTGAACTCCATTGCTGTGGGACTCAAAGACGTCTCTTGCCCTCTCTGAGCCTCAGTGTTATCTGTGGCCTGTTGGTGATCCATGTTGTACAGAGGGGTGTCATAACCAGATCTGTCGACAAGATGCGTATGAAATGTCTGAAAAATAAAGTTTTATAGAAACATGATGCCAGTATGAGTGTCTGAGAATCCGCGTGATAATAAGCCTTGACACGGCCTCTTCTGCTTCCCCTAGGGAGCCTGGTGACCTTCAGTGCTTCTTGACCACAGTGCCGAAAGGTCGTGATTCTCAGCATTTTCATTCTGTTGCAAACTTTCCCCATTTCGGGGCTGCAAATGAGGATGAGAGAAGGGATGACTGGAAAAATAGGATGGATTTGTATGCAGTGAAGGGCAAAGAACGAAGTCCCCATCATTGGGGATTCTCAGGTTGGCGCAGGAAGAGGAAGGAGCAGCGAAGATGAGGAGGAATAGACCAGAACACACAATAAGGTGGAAAGCGACTAGGATGGAATCTCGGCTTCGCCACCTCCCGGCTGGCTGCACCTGAGCCCCAAACCTCT